ACATTTAAATTAAAATTCAATAGTATAGATCACTTATTTTATCTATCAAACAAGACAAGTGAATAAAAAAAACGAGTGTGTAAATAACAATAAAAGTATTCATATGTATTATTTTTTGCTCTTCGTTTAACAAAAATAGAATGACAACAAAAGAATTATGTTCATTATAGAGAAAAATATTTACGCAATCATCAATTAAGTTAAAGTTAATACAATATGAAGAGTGTGGATATATTGATTAGAGAACATCCACACTCTCATTCTAGACTCATTTTTTGTTCGTTTGAAAGAGGATATCAACAGGCCAGCAATCACAAAGTCCTTCTTTTTTAAAAGTTCTTACATTTTAAACAGAAAGATGGAATCACAAATTCAATGACTCAAAAGACTGCTTAAAAATGACGCTGTTTCTAGAGAGGTGCTTTCGTATTTTATAAGAAAAAAACTTACTTTAATAAAAACATGCTGTGGAATCTTGCATCCTGACGTGCTCTTTCCAACAAAAAAATATTTAAATATATAAGATGACCATTGACAGAGAACTTAGAGATGCGCGTTTGACAAATCATAGACTGAGAAAAAACGAAAGACATGTTCCCTATTTTTGTAAAAACAGCTTATTTTTCGAATATAGGATGACGAAAATTTCTTGGGAAAAAAAGAGATGCCGAGCATAAATTGTTGTCGTTTATGAAAGACCAGATCACGGACTATCTTTCCATATATTTATCTCAATTTCGATCATTCTGACGAAAAGTGACTTTTTTTTCAGGGAGAATTTAATCAGTTAGAGTTGATTGTCCTAATTTGAATCGATTTTAATCTAATCTATCGATGCTTTGACTTGCACAAGTAATCATGACTTAGTGTTGTATGTGGAGCTGTAGCAAAGGAGTGTTAACATTACACCTATCATGAGTCACTGCAAAGAGTCAGAAAAAAACAATCAAAAATTAGAGTTTCTAACGGCGTAAATTAAAAACTGAGAAAAACGCATTTGATAGTCATATAAATGATTTATTTCAATAGATTACAGATGGACCAATAGAATTGGTCACTATTCTCATCTTTATTTTATATAAGAAAAAAAAAATCTGGAAATCTTAGTTTTTCTTTGATAATATATCATCGATGAACAGTTGAAATCTAATGAAGTAATGGTGATGGTAGCAAAAGCTTAATTGTTTCGATTGATTGTGCTTTTGGACTTTTAGCAAAATCTCGGCATGCTTTAATACTTGATTTTAATTGTGGATCATTGAAATCATATGTAATAACATTTAAATTTGGAAAATTAAAAACTAATAAATCTTTTAATTCATTTAAAAGTCTTAAATCAGGTGCATATGTACCTGAACCATTATCAATAACTAATTCCCATTGATTCCATGAAAGTATTTCATTAGGATTATATTGATTCCAACCACCAATTGGTCTTGGATGAAATTCTCCAGCATAGACAACCGTTTGTTCACAATTTGCATGTAAAGCATGTTTAGATACAAAATCAACAAAAAAAGAAGCACCTGTTTCACTAAAACGCCATGTATGATCTTCAATAATATATGTATAAACGCATGGTTTTATTTTATTTGTATTTCTATTAATTAATAAGTTCCAAAAATCTTCATGAGAATTTAATAAACCAAATTCATTCGTTGTAGTTTTAGCATATAAAACTCTATGAGCTTTTTTAATCATTGATTGCATGACTTGTGACATAGGACCTTCAAATATTGATTTAGCTGCTTGATATGATGAATTCCATTTTTGTTTATTATTTTTATCAAAATAAGTATCAATACGTTTTAAATAAATTTCCCATGTAAAGTAAAGTCTTTCATCATTAATTTTTGTTAAATGACCTACAGATAATGAATGATGACGAGCATAACGAACTGGTCCATCGAATGTATAAGGACGAAGATTTACAGTATCTGGTGAATTTTCAAGTAATATTATACTTAATTTAAACCTTCCTTGAATTGTATTTAGAGGTCCTAGAATTGGTATCTCCTTGTTTTCTACAGTCTTAAGATCGACTTGAAATTTTCCAATATAATCATCATAAGTGCTCGTATCATCTTTGTCACAAACTTCAACAGAAAGTTTTCCATTTGAAGGAACTTTTCTTACTATCCATTCTTCGTTCCAAACTGGATTTGATGTATCAACAACACAAGCTGAGCTGAAAGATTTTTTTCAGTTAGAATTTTCCAGATGTAGACATAAATTTACTCACACATATTTAATTCGTCCATCATCAATTTTGGCACGAAAATAAGGATCAGCACGCCCAACAATATCCATTTTTGGTAAATCCTGAATAGGTTTTTTCAATTAGATAAATGATAGTGGAATAATTAACTTACATAAGCTGCATGAAATTTAATGAGAAAGTCACAAGTGATACGTTCGTCGGGAAGATTTTCATTTGTTGAAGGGTAAATTAAAGTTCTTTCAATGCCAGAACGTAGTGAACAGGTCATTTTTTGAATATTGGCGTGCCTATTTGAAATACATATGCACATGTTGAGAATATGAGGATGAAGGAGATAAGTTATATAGGAGAGATTTCTTAAACAGTTCGAAAGAAAAAAATCAGATGGGGTGTGGGGTGTGGACGTGGATGTGTAAAAATAGATAACTGAAATTCATACACCGACACCCCAGCTACACCCACATCAACACCCATGCTCACTCACCTACACCCTCAATAGAATTGATTTCAGATGATGACTCGTTTCTATTAATTTCTGAATGAACTCACGTATTTTCCCTATGGAAAGCGATCATTATTCGGTTTCTTTCAATAAGACTTCCCAAGCCATCCTACAAGATGTCTGGCCAATGCTTGTATGGTTTTCTAGTACTATGCGTGTGCTTTATAAATGGCACGATTGCGAATTCTGTACGATCCATTTCTAGGGAGATCGGAGCCTGACAAAATCGTGATTTTGGCGAAAGTCATGATTTCGTTGAAGATCTCCTAAATGATAGGTACTAGTTAGAGAGTTGACTTTCTTACCCGAGTAGGTATTGAATAATATCTGTCAATAGTCACGATGTAAGCTGTCCGACATGATCCATTCATGAAATTTGTAAATATGGACTGGACCAAATGTCCTGTTGCAGGTCTCTAAAGATCACCTATGCTGTAAACTGTTTCTGGACGCCTCAGGCTGATTTTGCCATGAAGTTGTAGATTTTAAATGTCTCTTCCAACTTCCTAAGCTCAGCCTTCAAGCTACCCTGTTTCTTGGGAGAAAACCTAGTCTGAAAATCATCATTTTCACCAAAAGAATGTGGGTGTGGATATGATTCCTATACTATCTACACTGGCGTCCAGACTCCACATAGACACTCACACCCCATACCATGCACTCTATTACGGCACGTTGAGAAACGGTCGGATACTGAATTTTTCGACCGGATGACGGCCGTAAATAACGTCAAACAGTAGTATACGTCATCTTATGAGACCGTTTACGACCGTATTGGGTCATCGTAAAGCCCATCCTGGGACAACTTAGATAGACTTCGAAATGAAACAAAGAAAAAGACAAGCAGTATCCCAAAGCTAAACACGATCGAAAAAAGGATCAGATTCATACAATGGAAGTTTTACCTTGCTCAGACCAGTTCACTGCTATAAAAATGGAACAGGCAGAATGTGACAATTTGTTATTTTGTGTTATGCCTTTTATACAATGCTGCTCTCTGTTAGTAGTTATTCTTCCATCTTACGCAAATATTTTTTTTATTTATGGAAGACAAACCTAGAAGGACGACGTGCGCAATTCACTAGTTTCGACGGTGCATGTAAAGAAACCTTAGAGATCGTTGGTGTGCTGCGCAAAATGTGAAAAAAACTGATTACACCATTCTGTTTTAATTCCGAATGTTTATCAAAGAAAAGACGCCCATGAAAAAGAAAAAAAAATCACTTTTTCTCATCATAGTGACGGGTTTTTACCGGCAAGCACAATAAAGAATAGTATGAACTAATGTACACACAGTAGGCCAAATTTCATTCGAAATCATTGCACATGATACATGTTGGAATTGAATATATAATTGATACTCCATAGACTGAAGAGTCTAGAGTGTAGGGTGACTGTACGTATGTAAAGCTAACATGATTTTGACATTTCATCTCGACAACGAGAGTCTCCAGATGACATCCATAATGAAGAATTTTTGGCAAGAGAAAATTTTTCGACACAAAGTTAACTGCAGTGGTATTTACTTATATTGCATGATGAAGTGAGTTTTTTTTTCCATCGAAATCGTCGCTTAATTGAAGTAGGAATAGGAAGGCTCTGTTTAGATATGTCTGTCTATAGTAAATTGTTGGAAGAATTGGATAGCGTTGGTTTAGATGGTAAGAACTACCACGATACGAAAATTTGTCTTCCGATTTTATAGGAATCTAGTCAAGCATCAACTATTTGTATAATTGATGGATAATTTTTAGTCGAGTCAAATAGAACGTACCAAAATTTCATTAGAAAATGACAGAAAAACAGTGAGGTAATGTTTGGAGTTCGTGCTACATTAATAGCATTTCATTTCAGCAAACTAAAAAATTATCAAGTGGGAAGAATGTTCATTGTTGATCGAAATAACCTTTGGTGGAAGAAAGATTGGTAACATTTTATGGTTAAGTCGAACTGCATAGTTTGTGTACATTGAGAAGATATGAATTTTGAAGAAATTGTGTTGTCGATGGATGGTGATGTTATGTTGAATATAAGAATGGTACATTGCTTTTAGTAGTTACTAGAAAAGCACAGGCAAAGCGGCATCTCTAGTTGAAAACAATAGTTTTTATTTATTCAGGTATTTCTCTATAGATGACTAGGTAATAGTAAGTCACAGCGAAACACTAAGAATATACTTGGATAGAACATCAATTATATTTAATTTTAAATATAAGACAACTCGTGAGAAATTATCTTTGATTTTCTACTGTAGTTAATGAGATCTATCGACTTATATTTTCCTTGTCATTTAATTCTACACAAGAAAGCTTTTTGTAATATTTTTACGTTTGAAAACATTTCATATCACATCTGACGTCAATAATATCCAGGTTCCATGGTTATAAAAAGCAGGTGCTACGCAAGAAATTTTCTTAGAACAGAAAACGTAAGCATAAAGCTTTGTTCTTGGATAAAACTGTTTATTGCTGAGAAAGAATATTAATAGTGTTTGTCATATACATTTTTAGCCATGTTTCAAATTCTTATTGTGAATAAGACTAGCATTTGTTTCCATTACTGATAGAGACCAAGACCTATTAATTGCAAATCTTTTAATAGAATGAAAATAAAATCACTTTTAACTATACTACAGTTAATTTTAATTCATATTATATATTTATTTGAAATATCTCTAAATGAAAAAGAAATTTTGTTTACTTTAAATATTTTCAACGACACATAAATTCATATCGATAAAAAACGTAATAGGAAAGCAAACTTTCCTTGAAAAAGATGAATATTATCCATCTAAACTGCAATAAATAATGAAAAATGTCATTTTTATTGTTTTTTTCTTAGAACTGAAAAGAGAGAGACATTGAAGGTACAAATCCTATTCTCTTAATGCAATAGTAACAAAGAACGAAAAAAATAGTCGTAATGTTTATTAAATTTTTTATCTTATGGTGGTTACATCTTGAAATATCATTATGAGAGGCACGAAAAATCAACAAAAACTGCTACGTTGACAATAAAGAAGCCAAAGAAATCAAAATATTTTAATGGAATTTTATTATTGTCGTCCTCACTTGCTTTTCTTGCTTTCAATACGTTTGCATCTCAACAAGAGTGTTTTTTTTTGTGATTGTCTATCTCAATACCTTTATCATATTGACAAGTTTGAATTCATAAAGGTACACCAAAAATCAATCCAACAATATGTATTATACGTATATTAATAATGATTAAGATTTTTGAAATAAAACCAATATTTGAAAAAATCGGTTTGTCTGATACTTTCATCTTTTTATTTTAACAGGAGTATTTGAAAATTTCTCATGATAGGAATACAGAGTTTTCAAATTTCTTTCTTGTTCTGAGAATGTTTACATAAAAAACTAGAAAACAGTTATAGTGGAGAGTAGCTTACCGCGAAACTTGAATTTGATAGACAAAATCCTAAAACTCTCATAGTTACATTCTTTTAATTAAGAACTTTATTATCGTTGTTATACTTAATTCAGTCACATTGGTAGATGAATATAATCACTGAGCTTTGTATTTTTCAATTGATGCATACATATACACTCAGAAATATCTGTAGAATCGAATTCAAAACATAGTTCATAGACTATCAATTTCTGCTTTTTCATGTATTTTGATAAAGATTTCAAGGTCATCAAGTGCTACCACCAGTTTTGTACAGAACTTTTCAGCATGACCAATGTCAGTAATAGACATCAAGTATTACTAAATCATTCTATTTTCTATGCAAACAACTATATTTATCAAAGCATGTCATGAAATATCAATTAGTACTAGTGTAGAAAATCTTCAAGAACAAGCCGTAGATGCAAATAGCTGCTGTTTTCTGTTTTTTTTTGTAAACTTTTTTTGTGTACACTTAGGAATAAACTCCACATATTTGAATTAAAATTATGACTGTGTAAATACAATTATTGAAAGAGAAAAAATCCAGAATCATCATTTTTTTGTATTATTATTCTTTTTAACGTTCTGTTTGCTTTACATGTGTGCACTGACTGATGCGTCTGTTCGCTCGACACCCTACTTTCCATGTTGTTTCATTTTCTTTGAGCTTTTTTAAGAGGGTGAGTGTGGGTGTGGGTCGGTGGGTGTGCGTGGGTGGGTGTGGGTGTTAGTGTATATCTCCATCCACACCCACACCCACAAAACTGTATATGTTTAAAACCTGTTAAGTCAGATTTTTGCGATAAAATATTCAAAAAACTAGTTGAAAAATGTTAAAAAGCGTTGAAAAAGCTCATACTTTTGAGATGGAAGACAAACACTTGGTTTTTCACTAAGATTAACTTTTTTTAAAAATTATTTTCACTTCCTCAGACTCTCTCAGAATATACTCATTCGACGCCCCATGAAAAACTGAATCCAATGAGTATATTTCGAGCAGCGATGGAATTGGTTTGAAGAAAATAAAAAGCTATTGAATATCTTTTATTAACCTTTTTCCACAAAAACGAAGGAAATACGCTTCAGATGTGAGTAAATGTGTTTTTTTTGGGGTAAAATAGTCTCTTTTAAGAAATATTGGCAGGAAAATTTTGATTAATTGTGAGCTGAATCAAGACTAGTGTATCAGAAAATAATGAAAACACCGAAGTTATTTTCTTAAATGCAAGCTCAGCAGTAAATATTTATTATTTAATTAAATGCGATAATACTTGTACCCTTTTGAACCCGCTACTCTTCTGTTCTGCTTTTGAAGCATTTCAAATGAACATGAAATCTGATTTTATTTATTT